GAATACTGGAATAAATTGATTTTGTGTCATAAGAGCCAAATTTCAGCTTACTAATTCAGAGTAATCGATTTATTTTAGAATAGTATTTGTCTGATATCCATATGATCCTAATTGTGTAACTAAAGATGAACAAATTGTATTGATAGTGTATCAGGTCAAATACAATGTTATAACCTGATACATATATACATTATAATCTATTAGCGTAGAAATGACATTGTTAGGGTGAATTCTACAGAAGTAGAGAGAGGTAATAGATAAAGAAGATAAAAAGTCAATGTACATAAGCTATTGCAAACAATTTGAAGTTATATCACTTAAAAGCTTTAATTAATGGTTAAGATAATCACATGAACTCTAACCAGGTAGTATAGATCTGTTAAAATGATTTAGTTTAATTGTTAAAATTTTTGACTGAGTTCATGAACCGATTGAAGTTCCGGTGAGAAGCCGCGTCCAGTGGAGCTAATCCGTGTTGGGTAGAAACAGGTGTCTACCTCAGTACAATGGAAGATGGTTGCGTAACTTCGTGGATTGGTTGAAGTTAGACATTAACACCGTTGGATGCCGGCTCAGTGGTCCAGTATGTTAAGCTTTCGCGCGCGAGACTGAAGGCCTTGGGTTCGAATCCCGCGAGCGGGATCGTGATTGAGCACTGTTGAGAAGTCCCACAATAGATTGAAACGACCGTCCAGTGCTTCCAAGTTTCCAACGGTGATCTAACATCAGTCGATTCATGATCTCAATCAAAAACGTAACAATCTTCAAAACCCCTAAACTAATGTTAAAGTTTTCATAGTCTTGTGTCACATCTTGATTTGATAATTTATAATGAGATACGATAGAATTCTTTTTCAAAACGTACCAGATATATCAGTTTATGACTTTTCATGAAAAAGAAGGAATCTTAAACGTTTAATGTTGTAAATAGATTAAAAACTATTGATAAATATTGAATAGGACTAAACTCGTAGGATGGACTACAGTACAAAGTCGTGAGTGGAGGACAACTGACAGATGTATTCCAAATAAGGACAGGAGTTAGACAAGCCTGTCCCTTATTCTTTGATCTGGTTGTCGACTGGATTATGAAGACCTCGACATCTTAGGAAAAACATGGAATACAATGGACAGCTCAGAAGCAGTTAAACGATTTGCACTTCGCAGATGATCTAGCCCTCCTATCCCATAGACAAGAACAAATGCAGATGAAGACAGCCAGTGTAGCAGAAGTCTGTGCATCAGTAGGCCTCAAAATACACAAAGGGAAAATCAAATTCCTCAAATGCAACACGGCGAACACCTACCCAATCACACTTGATGGCGAAATTCTGCTCAAGATACTTAACATCCAATGGCCGAATACCATCAGTAACAGCCTTCAGTGAGTGAGAACAAACCAGCTTCCAACTAAGCAGGAAATTAGGAAAAGACGATGGAAATTGATAGGACATACATTAAGGAAATCATCAAACTGCATCATGAGGCAAACACTAACTCGAAATCCTGAAGGTAAGCAAAGACGAGGAAGTCTACAGAACCTATTACGTCGGAAAATGAAATCAGATATGAAAAAGATGAATAAGAACTTGTAAGGATTGTCCAGGACAGGGTTTGATGTAGAATGCTAATGGGCGACCTATTCTCGTTCACAAGGAGTAACAGGCGTAAGTAAGTAATTTGTCATTGTTCTACCATAATTCTCTCTAATAAGGATGTAAGGATGATTTACGTGTGAACTTGTTGAAACTCTAAGAAGTTCAGAAAGAATCAAATACATTCCATCTAATCATCTTTTGGAAGAATATTCCAGAATCTCTGTATATAACTTCTCTATAGGAAAAATGTTATAAACTGTTATAATGGTGATTATACTTTTATTAAAACCTATAAATACCTGAAAGTTTTATATCATATTTGACATAGTTTAGAATAACATTCTTTCTCAATTATCTTCTCTCTTCTCATTTGCAATTTAAAGGGTTCTAGCATTCAAGTACTCACGTCCAACACGGTATATCAAGGCTCTAATCTCTAAATATAACAATGTGCTTGTTAATCAGTATGAGTTTTGTTGTTGTTTTTTTTTTAATAAAAAAAAGATGACAGCTAATTCTATTCTGTTTCATAACTTACATTCTACATAACATAAATGACATCTGATGTCATATATCATGTGACAGTCAATGTAATGCTCAGATATCCATAGTATGGTATTCCAGTTGTCAGGGCTCTACATTCATAATGCCAATTATACAGTTATAAATGAATTCTTAGTATAAATTTGAATTGTATGTTATATGAAAAAGATGAATGATCGTTTATAAAAAATGATGAAGAAGATTTGTAGCTTAGATAGATGATTTTAATGAAGTTTTATCCTCTGAGCTGGATGGTTTAGTCGTGAAGTTTTCATCGTTCTTCTGAACGACATCATCAGTACAAAGTTCAGGTAGTAGTCATTTATAATGATGTGAATTATTTGATGATTGTTTCTTCATTCATATCTGTGATAGATCAAGTTCAAGAATATCAGAAATGAGATGTTTATCACTGATAGCTGAATAATTTTATGAAGTGAATATAGATCCGTTGGATGCCGGCTCAGTGGTCCAGTAAGTTAAGCTTTCGCGCGCGAGACTGAAGGCCCTGGGTTCGAATCCCGCGGGGGGTGGGATCGTGGATGCGCACTGCTGAGAAGTCCCATACTAGGACGAAAAGGTCGTCCAATGCTTCCAGGTTTTCCATGGTGGTCTAGCTTTAATTGATTCTTGATTTCAACTATTGAAATGAGTAGTATCTTTAAGATAATGTTATAAATCTTATGAATAATTTTGTACAGAATGAGCCAGTCAAAACGGTAAATACAGTTTACTAGTATCAGTGATCAATTTTACCAACCATAAATCAATCATAATATTCATGATTACCACCAGTGAACTGTTTGAATATTCAATGATGGAAATTGAAAGATGATTATTGTAATCATTGATTGAAATGAGAAAATATTATTGATTACAAATTGATTTATTAATGAATTGGAATTGTATTGACTATGATAATGAAACATGATCAGTTCATCTTAAGGGTAACTTTAAAATGATGAACAAATGAAGTGTAAATAGAAACAAAAGAACTATCTAGGGGTCCATATTTACCAATTATATACTTATGTAAACTTACATTTATTTGATACATTTCAGTCAATCAGTCTGTCAACTAAAATGTAGGACCAGGCATATATTATGTATCAGTTCAAGTTGCCATACCTCATTAACACAACAAGATGGTAGTAATACATAAAAGGAAGATTTCATATAAGTATATAATACAAGAAGAAAGAATTAGTTCATAGAAAGAAGTTTAAGGAAAGACAGAGAGTGTATACACCTACACCATTGTGATCGATTCTTAGCCATGAAACATAAAGTCTCCAACCATTGGTCACGATAGTCACGTGGACCCCAACTAAGTGGTGTGCATCTAACAACATGGCTCAAACTAGAAGTTGGTGAATTCAAGCACTGATGCCAAGTTTTGTTCGGCCGTCCCCTAACTTTTTTCCAACCATCCTGTAAACTCGTCAACATTGTGCATCGTGATAATTAGTGTTCAAGCATACATAACAAGTGACCCAACCTTTTCAGTCGATGAACATCCCCAACCTCATCAACTGATTTACCATCGTCCCCTAATACCCTGCATCTAACCTCACTATTACTTACCCGGTGATTTCAGTAGATGTGAGCAACATTTTTAAGACATCTGTGGTCAAATATTAGTAACGTAAGAGGTTCTTCTACTCTTAAACGCCATGTTTCGCAGCCGTAAATTAGAATATCACATCGGGTATATACAAACACGTGGCCTAATCATCTCAGTCAATGAAGATTTACAATTGAAGATACATTTCAGTAGTAAATATAATTCTGTATAAAAAATGACACTAATCATAAAAAAAATTTAGAAAATTCTTTAACAAGTTTCTAGTAAAATAATTGATATTTTGATCAATAATTAGTAAACATATCGATTGATATAAAGATTCCTATTTAGGATTCACATTAGTAAAATATAAATACAAAAACCACATAGATACAACTGAATAAAACGGATAATAATTGATCATTCATTAAAATTATTTCTATAATTTTAATAGAATTAAACTATACTACTGATTAGTTTATTATAAAACTTTAAGAATTCCATATAGAAATGGATAATGATCATGATTATATTTTAAATGATGTATACATGTTAATGAACAAGTATAAATGGAGGTAAACATGTGAAGGATGAACAACAATTGGATAGTACTAGAAAAGGAAGGTCCAAAACCAAGTGGATTGAAGAATGTTGATCAGCGGTGTATACTCCATTGGAAGTAACAGACGTAAGTAAGTAAGCAAGTGATATGACGATAAGAAAAGTCAGAATTCGATTGATTTAGTCATTATTTGTTATATCCCGATAAGAAGAGTGAATGGTAATTTTTGGGATCCATTTATGGACCAAGACTATACGTATATTTTTATCGTATAATTATTCACTGACTAAACTATGCATATTCATATTCCTCTTATTATGCGCTTTATTTTGACCCATAAACTATTTTATCATACGTTTTACCATTCTTGAGTTATACCCAGTACATCAATTACTATCTCCCTCACTCATAGCCACATCTGGCTAAATCTTGTACAAATGTTGTTTCCTATTTTATTGGTACGTTGTGGTTTGTTTGATCAGAATATAAACTCAGTATGTTTGAAATATAAGGATTCATATCACCGAGGCTGAGATTGATGTTCTGTAATCAACAGGTAGGCAGAGCTAGACAGAAAGCAGAGCCAATCAGAACTCTAGGCTGCTCGAACGTGTTTTATGCGTCACTGTTTCAATGGATAATTCGCTGCTCTCTAATTGGGCGGGTCACAAGTTATAAAAATTATTATATGTATAATAATAACAAGAAAGGAAAGAATGATTTTTAGACTTACCTCTAAGTTCAGAATTGATTCCTTTTATAGATTGATTCATACCATTATTCAATTGATTAGATTCATCTTTATGTGTATTATATTCATTAGAGATAGTTTTATTCAAATTAGATAGACGTGAATGAGAATCAGACGACGACGACGACGACGATGATGATGATGTTTTAGTCTTTGATATATCCATTGTATTCATTTGATTATCCTTAGATTTCACTATGGTTAAAGGTATTCTTGGCGTTTGTAATCCAGCTGTTTTACATGAGAAACCATCTATTTTATTATTATCATTATTATTATCAATCAGTGTATTGTTATTATTGTTTAATCCTAACCATGTTATAGTTAAATTTGGTATGGTATATTCATAAAATAAATAACCTTGTTCTGTCATAGCAGTACGACATTTAATAAGACTTAATTCTTTATCATATGGACATTTATTAGGTATTTCACCAACACATGCTGATTGACAATTATGAAAACAAAATTTACCCCATGGTGCTATTGGACATTGAAAAAACATACTATAACCATTTAGTATATTATTATGATTATGATTATGATTATTGTCATTGAATTGTAATTGTTTAGTATTGAATGAATGTACTTCACAACGTATGATTAATGGTTGATTTAATTGTACTTGATTAGAGGATGGATTAAAACTAATAGTTAATGGTGTATCGGATTCAATATCTAATGGTTTACTATCAATTATTATCATTATTCCATATGTTATGAGTAATAATATTGAAAGAATCATTTGTAGAATTGAATAAATGGAACCTGATTGTGAATGATGCATCATCATGTTCTTCTTCTTCTTCTTCTACTGCTTCTTCTTCTTCACCTTAGAAACAGGATACTTCAATTATTTGTTCTTTGTTCTGTTATCATGTATGATATATGATGGATAGAATGAGGCATTTCATTGGATTGAATAAATATATATATATATATAAAGTACATTAGTAACTAAATTATATTTTAGTTATTCCATTAGTAATTTGTTTCTATGTAAAACAACAACAAAAAAATTTTTTTTTCTCCTGTAATAAACGAAGAAAACAGACGACAATTTTTGTATTTTAGATCCAGGACATACGATAATAAAGAAAAAAAGTCAACAGCAACAGCAACAGCAACAACGACAGCAGAAAAAGAAAAAGATTTTTCTCTTTCTTCAGTAAAGTTATTCACATGTTGTTCACACTACAGTAAATAATAATCATTAAAAATGATAATAAGCATCAGAGTATATATTTTTTTGTTGTTTTTGAAAACCCATCTCCCCCCTTCAAAAAAATAATAAAACCTTAGTACACCATACCACATCACACCACAACGCATGCATACACACACACACACATCAGTATCATCACCAATACCAACTATTATGTGCTTTAAAAATTAACCAATTAATTTGTAGCGTGGAAAAAAAAATGATGCGTGGGTGTCCGGTACATTATTATGGTTATTATTATGGTTGTTGTTGTTGTTGCTGTTGTTGTTGGTGGTGGTGGTTAGACAGTTAGAATTTTCAATGTTCATCTTAGTGAGGGATATTTTCCTTTTAAACTAATCAAATTGATAAAGAATAATATCAAGAAATGGAAGTATTCAATGAAGCATATTTGAATTGTATATTGAATATGAAGTGAAAATGACACTATAATCTATAGATGATATGTTGAGCGATGCAAAGGTGATCATGACATTATTCACCTATTAACTAGGATTAAATGAACACCGATTACCACTATGTGTAATGCTGACTAGTTTAAGGGATGGTTATAAGAAAATTAGGGGTGGTCAAACCAAAACATGGCATTAGTCCTTGAAGTCACTAACTTCTAGTCTTAGCCATGTTCATAGATGCAGACTACTTGGTTGGGTTCCGCGCGACTATCATAATCAATGGTCGGAGACTCTAGGTGACATGGCTCAGAATCGATCACAATAGCGTCAGTGTATCCACTCTCTGTCTTTCTTTTAACTATGAGACTAAAATTATTTCCTATCTTTCTTTTTACGAATTAATTCTTTCTTCCTGTATTATGTCCTTATATACAATCTTTCTTTTATACATTAATACCATTGAAGTGACTACTTCTATGAATTCGGTGTTGTTCATCTTGTTAAGGCTAATGAGGTATGACAACTTGAACTGATACATAATATATGCCTGGTCCTACATTTTAGTTGACTGACTGACTAACTAAGCTATAATGCTGAAACCCTATTTAACCAAATGCTTGATTGAATTTCGCGCTAAAATCCAAGATCTGTTATCTTATGCCTGACTGGTCCGTCCATACATTATACTCTTGCCATAGTTTCTTATTCAACCCTGTTGTATTAAAATACATTTGATTGTTTGTACTTGTGTTCTCGTTTATTGTATTATGACTGGAAGAATCACTAGATCATATTTTTTCCCCTTACAAACTATTGATGTTTTATAATGGATATACAATCAACAATGTTGGATTGTATATTCTTATATAACATTGATTTGATTCTATGCTTAATCTGTACTGATTCATAATCTACCATTAACATGATAGAAGGGTTTATGTGGAGAATTAGTAATTTCAATAGTTGAAATCATGAATCAGTTGAAGCTAGACCACCATGGAAAACCTGGAAGCACTGGACGGCCGTTTCGTCCTAGTATGGGACTCCTCAGCAGTGCGCATTCATGACCCCGCCCCCCCGCGGGGTTCGAACCCAGGACCTACCAGTCTCGCGCCAGGCGCTTAACCACCTAGACCACTGACCTGGCATCCAACGGTGTTAATGTCTAACTTCAACCAATCCACGAAGTTGCGCCACCAACAACAATAATACTATTCCCATACTTGACAATAGTATTATTCGGGGGGAGGTGGTGTGAGAAAGAATACCATGCTGAGCTGATGCCATTAGATTGAGCATTTACAGTCAAAGTTATTGGATTATTAGTTGATGCAAATTGTCATTGAATTATTACATTGTAAAGTGAAGTTTTATTTATAAAAAACGTTTACTTCCATTGTTCAATAAACAATTTAACATCCTAGAAACTGTATAAGAGTATTTTTTGTTGGTAAGATGACTTTTAAAGTATGTCAATGAACTCCAACTTGTAATGAAGATGAGGGCCAGACTATGATGTATAGACGGACCAATCAGATTTAGGATAATACATCTTGGATTATGGCGCGAAATTCATTCATCCATTTGGTTAAAGAGCATTTTGTCATTTTCGCTGATGTCAGTAAGTGATGAAAAATTGTAACTCTAATTCCGAACCCTTAAACATCAACTGTAAATCATAATCTTTACTCTCCATAGAGGTTTTTAACTTTCATATTTAGTCCCACCAGGTAGAGTGAACATTCTCAAGGTCACTTTGGCGACGCTCGAAGGTCGTCCATAAATTATAGTCTCACCTCTTTGTGATTTTTGTTTTTGTAGTGAACGAACATTCAGCTGGGGACAATCAATTTATTTTTAGTACATACAGAAACTCTTGAAAAAAATATGAAAGTGAGTCAGCCACAACATAACACCAGATACATATATGCATTAGTTCAAGGTTGCCATACCTCATCACCACAACAAGATGAACACCGAATTCATAGAAGTAGTAACTTCAAAGTTTAGCCTTGAATGATGTTAGAGGTATGATGGCGATTATCACTTTCCCGTTGCCCACAACGTGGAATGGTTCTTCTAGAGATACCTGAAAAGGAAATTGTATTAGAGGTGGTCTTAATGACCTGAGAGCGTGAACGCAGTGCCCAAGGGACAACTGCTTGAGGTCGGTCACAGATGACCTTTTTTGAGATAGCCTAGTACTTGTTGATACCATACCGCCGGATACGGAATCCAGTGGGATAAGGCGAGGTGTGCATTTTTTAAGGTCGACCTTTTCTAACCGCACTCTTTCTTGTGGGAATGCAGTATCGCTTTTATACTCGTTGTCTAAAAGAAACAACTTACTGCCGTCACACCTCTGTACAGTTAGCAGAACGACTTCGCCTTGGGTTTGCTGCTTTTAGTCTTACTGTTATTCAACCAACCTGCCTGACATGGTAGGACCATGAGGAACGATTGTTCCAGCCAGTATAGCTCGACTGGTTCATTACAGTAGGTAAGACAGGCCACCATGTCAATGTAGCAGCAACGGTCGTGGATAAAATATGAGAACCATACATTGAATACTTTCGGTGAGAAATTCCATTATATGTCCTTTACATTTTGTATGATTTTTCGAAGTCATAATTCTTATTTATTTCCGTTTCTGTTTTCTTCAAATCGATCATCATAGCCTTCTACTGCCATACATTCCTCTACTAAAAGTTGTTACACGCTGCTTACATTCACTTGATATTGTTTAGTTGAATCTTCCCATTGATATTTAGGACTGCAAATTGATCAGTCTCTTATTGGTATATGTGTATCCTGTACATATTGCCTAGATATTGCTTTCATTTACAAGCATTAACTCTGGGATGTAGGTACACCAAGCTGACGAATCCCAAATAGGATGAAACACACACCCTAGATTTCACTGCCATCCATCATTCGTTTTTGCTTAGAATGCTTGTGACTTAAGGCAATATCGAGGCAATCCATAGAGGTTACATAGATACCAATAATAAGAGACTGATCAATTGTAGTCCTAAACAACAATAGGATGATACAATTAAACAATAATACCAAGTGAATATACATTTTAATGATGATTGTAAATTGGATGAATGATATAATCATTCAATTTGCACAGAATTCCTATTAGTTTATCATTTAAGATCTATTTATGCTTACAAGAGTTTTTAATTTCATATTCAGGCTATTTTCTTAGTTTTGTTATCATTGGTAAAATGATAAGAAAGGAATTCTAAGAATAGTATTCTTGTAATTCCAGTATGGGGTTGTGGAGATAAATATGTTTTTGATTGAGATCGTGTATCGATTGATGTTAGACCACCATTGAATACCTGGAAGCACTAGAAGGCCGTTTCGTTCTGTTGTGGGACTCCCCAGCAATGCGCATTTATGATCCCGTTCGCGGGATTCGAACCCAGGGCCTTCAGTCTCGAGCGCAAACGCTTAACCTACTCGATCACTGAGCCAGCATTCAACGGTGCTTATGTTTAACCTCAACCAATCCACGAAGTTGCGCGATCATCTTCTATTGTACTGAGGTAGACACCTGTTTCTACCCGACACGGATTAGCTCCACTGGTCACGACTTCTCACCAGAACTCCAAGAATTTTCTCACGAAGCTAGTCACTAGTCAGCACATTGACAATCTCCACAACACCTAAATTGATGTTTATCCAATATCATGTATTTTTGATAGAATATAGAATTGTCAACATAAAGTATTTCAACAAGTTTCCCATTTCTTACTTCTTGGACGATCCTGATGATAATCTATTGAGTGATCGCTAGTTAGATATTATCTATCAGTTCAGCCAATCGATATCTAAACAATGTACATTCTTTTCGATACGATCTCTCTAATTGAGCTCTATCCTAATTTGTACAACGAAAGGTTTTACACTTGAATATATGAAAACAAATACAATTAGATAATTGGTTGAAATATCTTGATAGCAAGTAGAAACAGGTAGGTCAAATGTTCAAGCAAATCGCCGCCAAAGTTCTTTAATTACCAATATCATTACTTTACATGTTAATAAAACACAAGTTTATAAGTTATAACAGTTTTGAATATTGTAATTGATCTAATTCTAATCTAATTTAATCATTATGTTACCTTCATTCAATTACTTATGTATCCCATAGTTACTAAGGTTACTAATGTTTTATGATTTAACTTAGAACAACCTTTCCAATGATTCTATTCATTGTCATAATGTATAAACTTAGTATCTTTCTTCATATAACAGTCTTAGATTGAATTGATTCAGGTCATATTGTTAGTGTATAAATATTTTTTATTACATAATTATGTAATTGACCTATGTAAGGATATAATGAACAAGGAATAAACATGATTATTTAATAGATTTATCTAATTTATCCTATCATTGAATTGTATAATCGAAAAATTGGGATCGGTTAGAAGGGAAATATCTAAATATACTACTATTCATAATTGATTGATGATTGGATGGTCCTACAAGGAGTCGGGCGTGGCTTGGATAGCTCAGTAGCTACGTTTCTGACTGTGAAGTTGGCTGGCACGGGGTCGAATCCGTCAGGGAGAACCAGTCCCCTCAAG